CAAGAACCTCCAGAGAGTTCCTTGAGAAGTACAAAATACAACGTTTCAAAACGCTGCCTGTAAAAGCTGCACTACCAAGAACTACTCTGGGGCCTCCTGCAGCTTACTGGAGTTGCGGGAGAGCGATCCCCACAGTGAAATGGAACTAAGCGGTTAGTTATCTGAAAACTACTCCTGAAAGTACAGTGGTAGCTTTGATTTCACAGTGACAATATTGTCGTGTTTAGGGTTTACTCCAGTACAGGTCATATGTAATGAGAGTTTATTAAAATGTTGATATCACTAGCTAACCCTTTAGAACGTGCTACAACTAGCACAATATTTAACTTGTAAACATAGTTTCTTGTATGTTAACAGAAAGGGCTTTCCAGCCTAAATAAAAACAGTGAAACCAATAATGGGAGCTGTCATTGCACGCTTTTCCATTGAAACCAGAAACAGGGGGATCATTTATGCTAAAGTCTATTTTGCCTTGAATAGACTGATTGTTTCACAGAGGCATGCAACATGTCTCAGACCACAGGGTGAAGAAGGATCTTCTCCTGTGTAATAACTGCACTTTATTTTGCACTAAAATTTTTCAACCTGCTAGGTCAGGTAGTAAACCACAATCCCCATAAATACTACTTTAATTTAAGGTCAACTGCAGTTTATCATTCAACTGAGCAAATATGCCTTTAACACCACATTAGTTTTGTATCATTACTGTTCCGTCAGCATACAAGTGTGGTCATTGTTAGAGAAGAAAATGTTTTGCACTCAAATTGTAAACTCCTGTAATGTGCTTGCATGGAATTATATTCTTCTAACTATGCCTGATCATAACAGTTAAATATTCAGCTTAGAAATTATTTCAGCTGCACTTTGGGTTTTGTAACAAGTAAAATCACTCACGCATACTGCAAAGAACTATGTCTGCAGCTTCAGATTCATACACTGTTCAGGGCTACAGAAAGTCATACTGGCAAACTGCAACATGTCTACCATTTCTGTATTCTCTCCTACCTCTTATTACCATATGGTTACATCTTCAACTTGTGTCAGTTTAACTTGAAGATAGACTATAAATAAAGTTATTTGCATTTTTTTGTCTGGATAGTTGTGGTTTTACTGTTTACTGTGGGTGTATCTAGAGTAAAAAGTAAACTGCTTTGCTTTATATTAGATGTGCAGGATATAGTTTTAATTCTTTTATTTCCTGTATTGACCCATTCCCTTAATTTAGTAAGTCCCAAGTTTATCTAATATTTTAATACTGAATTCCAAACTTGAGGATTTTGTACACAGGAAAGCTTTTAGTAAAATACTGTCAAAACTAAGGTTGCTAAGTGTAAATATGGTAGCTGAGAAGCATGACAAGCTGCCGAGTCAAACCTTTAACACTAGTTTAACTAGTGTTCAACTAGGACAGCCAGTCACCATTTTCTGTATTAAAAGGCTACCTTTGGCTGACCTTGCATACCTCAGCCAAAAATATTTCCACCTTTTGTCAGAACAAAGCTATGGAAAAGTACACTTCGGTGCTTAACGAATTCCTTCCTGCACATGCTTTGGAGCAGCCATGCACATTTTTTGCAGCCTGACCCCTATCCAGGCACCGAGCCGACAGCAGCC